GGCAGATTCTGCGTGCTCACTGGCTTTACGGTACGTAATCCACGCTGTGGCAATGAATTACCCTCCTGATGTATTGAGTAATTGCGTAGGTAAGTGTAAGCTGCTAATTAGACTGAGCGACAATTTCGTTTTTTCACCAGTGTCGAGCTTTGGCTCATCAAAATTTCGTTCAGGTTTCCCGTTTGAGAAGCTGCACTCTATATTCAACAAGGTTAATTTTGTTTCCCTAAACGGTGCAACCATTTATGCTGTAACCTGAGGCGCAACTTTGACACAATTTTCCAACGAGCCCTTCACGGCGTCGTTCTACGCCACGCTGAAAAGCGAGCAAAACGGATTCGAGGCTGCTTCTTCCTTGCCGCGTGTGCGCTATGAGCGCGACGATTTCGAGGGCGGTGATGCCCGCAGTGGCGTTCCCGTCGACCTGCACTTGATGTTGGCCCGCGGGGAAGCGTCCAGGGCACACAGTGCTCCACTTGCGGCTAAATAACTGAGGAGGAAGCGACCGCAAGTGCCGAGACATCGTCGACTGGTTCAGCCGTCTATTCCTTCCGCGCATTTTTGCTTCCTTTGCGTCGAGGCGAAACCGAGGGAAGTAGAAAAAAAAAAGCACGTGTCCCCGAGAACAGCAGCAAACAGCAGCAGTGGCAACAACGATGGCAGTTGAAATGTGTGCCGGCACGAGCATATCGCTCGGGGGGTCGGGCCTTGCGATAAGCGGAAACCGTGCAGCATGGCGGATGAGACGACGAACGGAACGACGACGTCTCGGGAAATATGGCCGCCCAACTTCGCTCCTAGTGAATCTCTGTACTGCTACTGCTACTACTACTACCACTACTACTACTACTACAACTACTACTACTACTACTACTTGGGACTCGCTTCTACTGCTTCATATTTTTTTAGTCATTTTCTTCTATATAGTGAGTGAGGATATTGAGTGACAGAGACGCCTTGATGGGGAGATGCACTCATGTGACATTTATCTGGAGTAAGAAAGGCCCAAATTAACTGAAAAAATTTATGCTTCCGACTCTTACGCTCAGAAGTCGCTTTACTTGTGGCTGGTGTGGAACATTGTCTCCCAATGTACACGAAGGGGAGTAATAAAGAGGGGTACGGGTGGCAAGATTGTATGCAGAAATTTTTTCGAGGAGGGGCACCTTTTTGATATAAAATGGGGTCCGGGCATGCAAACGTATATTTAGCGCTATGCATGCATGACAAAAAAATTCCTGGGGAGGGGGGGGGGGGGAGCGTGGGCTGAGCGTTCACGTCGCCACCCATCACTGGCTGATGGGTGGCAACGTGAACGCTGGTGATGATAATGGATGTCTTGTTTCTTGCAATGCGTAGTTCTTTCTCTCTTTTTCTTTCTATCTTTCTCTCTCTTTCTGTTTCTCTCTCTTTCTCTCTCTCTTGCTTGAGGCTGCTGACGTGAAAAGAAACAACCACGTGTGAAATGAAATTAAATGTTTCATTCGCAGACGTCACTACTGAATAATGGATATTAGAAGGGTTGCCTGGGACCAATATGCTTGAGAAACCCCTATTCTAGGGTATCTGTCTGGTATACACCCGCGGCATCATGCCTCTGCATGCAGCTTCGAAATGTCGTGTACAAAAAATTAGTGCTAAATTCAAGCGTACCATCGCCATGCGCTGTGGATACTAAGATGTGATCGCTGTCTATGTTGGTTGTATACCCATGCTCGCCGCACCTCGGTGAGTATGAATGTTGACAAATGTTTCAGAGCTGCAGCCTCCGCGAGTCCTGTTTCTGCGACCGCACCAGCCTCTCCGCCGACTCGTACCGTAAAACAATGTCACCCCGTGCTGAGTAAAAAACAAAAACAAAAACAAAATAGGTGTCGCGCAGTGCGTGCCCTCACGACACTGATTTCCCACAAAGTGCGATCGAAACCTCCGACAAAAGTTATAAACCAGTTGCACCCCAATGAAAGCTTTACAAAATGCAGAACATTGATTCTCCTGTGTTTTCCTTGTGTTTATCTAGTGTCTATCTCCTTTGTTTTTGTCTGATTGTTTGATAATTTTTATCTCTTTCTGTTCTTTACTGGTGATCATCTGATTTGTTTAGCAACCCTCTATTTTACATTGTAGAGTGTACTTTTTACCCTCCTCCCTTGGTGAGACACCAGTCGCCACAAAATTGAACGGCGCGCATTTTGCCCAATGAAAACCTCACAAGGCCATGATTTCTTCGCCGCAATCTTCATCTGGTCCTCATCGGCTGGCGTTTATTACATGCGGATTGGTTACCCCAACCTGCCGAAATTGCAACGCACATGTAAGAATTGACCAGCTCGTTCACGGTCAGCGTGGGAGAGTTTGGTAGAACCCCAGTAAGGAAAAGCAGCTAGTGATAGCTGCCAGGGCCCAAAGGGTCACTGACCTCGCGGAGCCACCCTGAGGACCACGGCTTCTTTGCGAATGAAGTTGATTAATCCTCCTATTCGCTGCACGGTGCGTCTCATTCTCGATGCTACCGTTTCGCTGGCTCGTACGGACGAATTAGCTATTCGGCAACGCGGGCAAGCAAGCTCTGACGTTCCACGCTTCCAGGCTGCTGGGCTCATATGCATCAAACGTGGGAGCTGCGTAACGCCTACGTGATACATGAAACGACGACAGAAGTTGCTCAAGCTGCTCTGCACTTGAATCTGTACTACCTCATGTAAGTGAAATGGTGTACGCTTAAACAGGGACAGAGTGTGAGTACTCTCACGTCTGCCGCTGACCTTTGAGTAATCTGAAAACATCATCAAGCAACACTGGTCGTTCACTGAGCAACCTATAGTATACCTATAGAGTTGCACATAGGAAGCTAGAAAACCGTGCCAAAGTATACTACTTAGTCGGTAGGGTCCACTGCACGTAGTCGCACTCTCTGTAATAATAATGGTTTGGGTGAAAATTGTCAAAACCACCATATGCTGATGAGACGCCGTATTGGGAGGCTTCGCAAATTTCGACCACACAGTGTTTTTTAAGGTGCGCCTGAATCTAAGAGCACGAGCTTCGAGCACCTTCGTCTCCACCGAGAATGCGGCCTGTATTCGATCTCTTGACTTGCGGGAATAGGTCGGCAAAACATTTACAGTACATTCAGACACCCATGAAATATATTTAGAGCTTTGGACTCACTCTGACTCATATTCCCCAAAAACATTACTCACCCGGACTCACTCAGACTCATGGCTCGATATGAATCTGAGTCGGTCAGATTGAGTCTACCAGCCATCATTGCCAGCTACCAGCCAGCTACCAGATTGAGTCCATCAGCCAAGAATTAGCTTCTTCGGCCGTGGTGTCAACGCTCTTTTAAGATCAATATCTCAAGTAATCGGTGCTCTTCGTGGTACCGTTTGAAATAATAACTTCGAAAACGAGTTCTGAGTGCTTCCAAACCAGTAAGGTCATTTTTCTTGAAGAGATGACAGCATAAGACATAAGAATCAAGAAATTCTCCCGGTGTGCCACCACTGGGTACACTGTCTGCTGGAGTAAAGCCTTGAGTTCTTTGTTGGCAACCTCAGGTGCTGGGCTACATTTGCCCGACTGCAACTGTCAAGTGCATAACATGTGCAAGTAGAGCAAGTTGGACTTGTTGCCCTTCTTGTACCAACGGCCGATAGCAGCCGCCATAATGAATCCAGCAATTCTACACGCGCGTGCTGCCCGAGTGGCGCCACGCCAACGTCATCCCGCTACAAGGCACACAGCACGAGGATGTCCACGAGCTTTCCCTTCCTCTGCCATGCGAGGGACTCGGATAAAAATAGCGCCAATCAAACGGGCAAATAACGTAGCGTATATGCCATGGAGGAAACAAAAGGACGTCACGAGTATAGGCGCGTGCAGCTAGCGGACTAATCGCCTTTCCTGCGCCGTCGCGATCCAACAAGGAACCTCGTTCGGTGTAACTGTCGCGCTTGCCGCCTCAGTTTTTAGGGCCAGTATAAGGGGTCCGGGCCATGGTGATGCTAACACAGAAAGAGTTTGCAGGAGGACTCCGGCTAGACTCGGAGGAGAAAGAATGAACAATGACGTTAAAAATTGTGAAATTGCGACTGATGGTTGCAATTTCGCAGGAAAAGAACTTAATAAGTATCTGGAGGCGGAGCTCAACCCCCCTTTGGGGGTGACACCGGTGGGTCACTCCCACGACGGAGCGGAGAGGTTAAACTCCACGGCTATGTCGCGAGCCCTCTGAATAGACCTGAGCTGGTCTCCTTCGTCGTAGTTTGTGAGGAGACAGTTCTCGTCAGCCTCCATAGAGGGCGACTCGCTGCTCTCGCGCAACCAGGGCATTGCCACAGCATGTGCTGTAGAGAATATTTGGGGTGACCACAGCGCGGGCACCCCGGATCTATGCCATCCATGCATTTAGAGCACTTTAGAGGCGATGCCTCTGTAAGAGTCGTAGAGTGAGGTGATTTGTTAAGTGTGGGTGCGGTTGTGGGTACTTCCGCTGCTCCAACTGGCAATGTTTGCAAATTTCTTTAAAAGTTGACACCAGAGGAGAAATACTTCACCTGACTGCGGTGTTTGGCCGTGCGTCGTTGGCAGGTCTTGGAATGGAATTGAGAATGCAACCGTAATTTTGTAAGCACGGGTTAAAGGCCTGTCGAAGCGAAACTATTGTGCACGTAGGTGTCAGGGAGTTGTTAGGGCCCAGAGAATTCTCGTGAGGTATAGTTTCGCGACGTGCATATGAAATGCTCACACATGCGCATGCGTCTATGTATCGAGGTTGTCCACGCGTTCTTATGTACTGCAGATAACGTGTTACGGCCTCGTAATTAACAATGGGAAACAAAGGAACGAAAGAAGCAGCTCTTCGCGCATTTGTAACAAAAACGAACGAACGAAAGCTGCTGTGTATACCTTTATATGTTAGTACTTTTAAGGTGTTGAAGTACGTGAACCAGTATATATGCATCCTATATATACGCACTTCCTTCATTTTACAGCAACTGCAACTCAAAAACGGCTCAGAGACGCTGGATAAATGGAGCAACGTCAAGGTGCCAATCTACATGTCATTCCACCTGTTCAACATCACGAACCCGGATGAGTTCGCAGCCGGCAAGAAAGCAGAGCTCAAGCAAGCGGGTCCTTACGTCTACAGGTCAGTGTTGTCGAGTGGTAGATGAACATCGTGTAAAAGACAAACTTCTCTCCTATAATTACAGGGCATGCTAAATAATTCCGCATCATTTATTTACTGTTTCAGGGCAGATTACGTCAATATTACGAGTGGAAAAACCACTTTGAACAGATCAGAGTTGTAACATTTGCGAATAATATGTTCGTTTCAGCAGAATTGTAAATCCAGAAAAATCATAAGTGAGGATATGCATCTTGCCATAGCGACCATTTTAGTTTTACAAATTTAGGTGTTACTTCACTTATATCAAAATCATCATCATGCTTTGAAATTAAATTGAAGAACCAACATGGGTTCCCAACTCGCGTAATTGCATCGTTCAGTTGGGTCCTTTTGTGAAACCGGTTGAGCGGCAGTTGCGATTTGAAGTATTCACATTGCCACACTGGGATTTGTATTGAGCAAAAACACACACTATGAAATAAAGACGCAGTAATAAAAGTTGAACATGCTTTGCTTCCAAAATCGTAATAACTCAAAACAGAGGTGGGAAGAGATTCACCGACGATCACGATGTTGCCTAACGCGAATTATGAGCGTAGCCTCGTGTTGGAGCGATGTCAACAGTGTTTGAAGCTTTGGCTTTCCACAATTCATCGAGTAAGCCATGAATCAAAAAAATTTTTATTGATGTATAGGACAGCACCCACTACGCCATTATTTGTCATTCTGCGGATAAGCGAGATAACCGCTAGACGTGTGCAATATGGGCACTTTGTTGCTGCTGTATGTGGCTGATGACCATCAAGAACAATGCCTGACCACTTTGCAGGGTGAGAACCACACTCCTAGCGTGGTTAGCATTGTGTGATGACTGGTTGTTATTTTACTCTTCTGCCACGCTACAGGTAAGCGCTATTCCTCGCCCGACATTACGCTTGTATAGAGTCTTTTTTTTTTCTTCAAATTAGTTTCAAGCACCAGTGTGGCTCTGTGGTGGAATACATGACTGCATCCCGGAGGGGCTGAGTTCAAATCGCATTCGATCTTGGATATTTTATGTAGCGCTGAGCCGCGCCACCGTTGCTATTGCCGTCGCCGTCTGTGACGTAACCGACAGACCAAAAAAAAAAAAAGGAACTGTTACGCCACCAACGACGTCACCGCTGAACGCAGGAACGGGCTCCCCAGAGCTGCAATATAATAAGACCTAAAATGTCAGCCTTGAACTTTAGAAACCAGTGAGTGGAAGGCAGGCGGTGAGTTCGATTTATTTCCGTATATCGGGTGACGGTTCACGCATGGAAGACGCTGCTTTGTATATCGAACTTCGGCGCTGGGTCAGGAATGACTGATCGTTCCTTGACAAGCGTAACGCCGCAGACAACGGCGTGGACGAGTGACCACAACTGTCGCGTGGTTGCGACGGCCACCGTATTTCTCGGTCACGCACTGGCAGCGGGTATGTATGACAGACGAGCGCGGAAACTTTCGTGCGAGCTAGTCGCAACAGTCGCCCTGCATAATTAGAAGACTGGCCTCTGGAACAGTCGCCACTGCATGCATATGCATGCGAGGCTCGAATGCTATGGCAGTTCGATATATATAGGCGCCCATCGTCGGTATACTTAGGACTTCATGCATGATGTGCACAGATCTAACTATGCCTCGGGAAGAAATAACTTTTTTTTTTCACAAAAGAAATTTTGAACTACCCAGTACCTGTCATGAGAGTTGCTGCATCACAAAAGGGGAATGAAACAAGAAAAACAATTTTATGGTTGCACAGACCTAAACGCAGCTGCGGGAATGGTGGCTTCACCATTCAGCTTCTCCGACCACGTAAGAGGAAGAAAAGAGAGAGAGAGAGAGAGAGAGAGAGAAAGAGAGAGAGAGAGAGACGACCATCTTTCACATTGCCGCAAAAATCATTGCTTAGTCACATCGCTGAACGGGTGAGGTGAATTAATGTCGCCTGGGACCACTTGTTAGGACGCAGTGAGGCGCGCATAAACTCGTTTTGCAAGCGCTGTCTCCCGGCAACATCGCATAATCAATGCGTCTCATCGTTCACATACTCTCTTAAAGAAAAGGTAGCACTCCTTACCAACTCTTGAGTTATAGTAAAGTGCTGTCACAACATTCACTACCTTAGTAGTAACTTCAGCCAGTAGTTCACAGACATTTACTACTCTCTGGGGTCTACTATACCAGCAGTTACTACTTAGGTAGTGAATGTTGTGGCAACACTTCCCTATCTCAGATGTTAGCAAGTAGCCCCCCCTTTTTTAAAGAGTATATGGCATTTTCGTCATGGGCTTCGCTCAACTTTGTCTTGGTACAGCGGCAGCTGTATAACATCCCGCAACATCCAGGTGGACAAGCAAGTGATCTTGAAAAGACGCGTAGAATAAAGCTAAGGAGCGCCATCCTTAGACGTGCTTCGCAGTATTCATTTTATTCTGTACCCACTTAGAACGCTGGCAAGCGCGGCCTGAATGGTTACGCTGACTGCGCCGTGGTTGCAGGGATCGAGTGCAATCCTGAGCTACTTTTCGCGTAGGGGAGAAGCTACAGAGCTGCCGCCTGTGAATAACACATGTGCTTCGCCGCGGAAGGCTTTAGCTAGAATATAGCAGGTGCATGTTTTTGCTTCTTCTTAACATTTAACATGCACGCCGAATGCTTTGTACATTATATTTTGTTTAGACCCCATTACTGTCCTACTTTGCCTGTCCCGGTGTTTGGCTCTTTCTACCATGAGGTCACACAAGAAAGGACATCTCGAAATATACGTAGAATTTATTTTCAAGCGCTAGCGGCGGGCTGCACTGCATGCGGAAGTTTGAAATGGATTCTCGGAACCACACAGTATTGCCACTTGGGGATCAGAAAATGGAGCATATTCCAGCGCACACCGGATGGAAAGACGAACGTAATACAAAGGGACAACCTAGTGGTTAAAAATCGGAATCCCTTTAAAGATAGTCCAATTTGATTACGATGAAGCAGTAATTTCAAAATATATGAAACCCCTCTGCATACTAATAATACACTGAACGCAGATATATGTTTTCACTCGAGTCTTGTGGAGCAACAAAGGCACTTCGAACCGCACGATGCACCGAAAAAAAAAAAACATAAAGAGAGAGAGAGAGAGAGGAGTGTGTCCCTTGAAAAGATGATTTTTAAACTTCATGTCCTCGACATGAATACAGAAATACAGTCGGCTGTTGAAAAAAAAAGTCAGAATAATTTCAGAGGGGGGGGGGGGGAGTCTGTCTACACAGTTTTGTTTATAGCTTTGCGGGATAATGATCCCTTAAATTCAAGTGCAGAGAAGCAACAAAACATAACGAACCTTAGAATGAATGTTTTCTTCGTCGCTGGCGTTGTGATCTAAATAAGCACTGGGCAATATCTTATAACAAAGAGTTCATTGCGCCCAAAATCGAAGATCAAAGCGTATTCAATGCGAGGGAAATTCATGAAATTCACCTGACATCCAGGCACCAATATAGCACATGAATACGCCCAGCTCTCTATACCTGGTTCCCAATATCTATAGTCTTCTTAGTTAAGTGCAGAACTATAAATCTAAAACTCTTAGTCCGGTTAAACACTTTGCCTTAATTATCCCTCGTCGAGGTTAGAATCTATGGTCCCGTGGCACCGAATAGTTCAAAGGTGATAAAGCGAAATTCGAAAGCATTCAATAAACGATAGCTAATTTGTTTTCACAATAAATACTCGTAGGCGTTGCCCACGCACAGGCACTTGTTCTCCCGAATTTCGTTCGCTACTTTCTATGTTCACTAAAAGTCTTTAAAAAATTGCATTATAGAAGAAGGTAAAACTGTGCACATTCACGGATACAGCATGCAAACAAGCGTTGAGTAAACTCAAAGATCTACAGGTAGTACTGCAAGAGCAGAGGAACTGTATTACTCTTGCCAGACTTCTTTAACTCTGTGGGAGAGTAGTGGAAAGTTAGGCGAGGAGCCTACTCTTTCGTTGAAGACAGTAAAAGAGACTGATCTCTGCTCCTCAGTTGCAGATCCCAATCTGCGGAATTCCCGTGCTGAGGAAGCGTGGACAAGGTCGGGAACTTCCTTATAAGCAGACAGGATACACGTGACGTATGACGTTTGCGAGAGTACATGTAATAGCGGGCTCAGCGAATGATAAAATGTTGTTCCAAGTTAGCGAAGTGGTGTCTTCATTGCGCCTTGTGTCCGTGTCCTTAGTCTGCGCTACTATCAATTATCAGAATACAAACCAGCGCGAGCTTCTGACCGGCGCCACAATGCGATATAATGCGTAACTTAACCATAATCCACCGAGCGTAGACGCCACGTATGTCACTTTAGTATGCGAGTTAATAGAATAGCTTAAATGTATAACAAAAATAATTTATCCGATCGTCAACCTTTGGTCTCTGAACCGCCAACAGCGGCAGCATCAAAGCCTCGAACAACGGCCACTCCTAAAGCATCGTCAAAACTTAGTTTACGATACAAGCTGATTGCGACTGGAATAAGGTTGACGCCAAAAAGCATAAGGACAATAAATATACAAAGAAAGAAAAAGCTGTAACAAGCAGTTGCTTGTCAGGAGGATTGGAATCTAGAGACAGTACAGTTATTTGCATGCCTTGCGCGTCACGACAGGCTTCTTGTTACGCGATCACGCGCAGCGGCGGGAAAATGATACAGGATAAGAAACGAGCGAGGAAAAACGATCATCGCTCGGTCTGAAGGTACGGCTCCGTCGCACAGTGCTACAGGTCTCATCTTCTGTCGCCATTGTTCTTCTGTGCAGAGAGTACCGGAAAAAGGAAATCCAGGGCTTCGACAACGAGACCAACACGGTGCAGTATTTCGACCGGAAGACATTCGTGTTCGAGCCCTCGTTGTCAGCTGGCACAGAGGACGACGTGGTCAACATCATCAACGTGCCCGTAGCGGTGCGTTAGCTCACCAAACATGCATGCGCGCACTTTGTCAAGCACGGTGGATGGTTCCACTGTCAGTTATCCCTCGTTCACTGAAGAGTGCGTGAAAAAACGTTTGAGAGAGAGAAAGAGAGAAAGACATCAAGCGTTTATTCTGAATAAGGGCGGCGTGTGCCCCATAGGTGGGCGGCCTCCCTACTCCAGGTAACCACGGGCAACGGTCCTCTCTCTCAAGCTCCTTAAATGACGCTGCACTAATCATTCTTTACTGATAGCTTGGCCACTCTCTGCTGCTCTTTAATTGTTTGAATGCCTATGGTGTCACGTTTTTGTACACATCTCCGTACCCCGATGTAGAGTGTCTGGGACATCACGTTATCGACTGCCTGAAGTATGAGTGCACAGTTGGGAAGAAGTTGGGAAGATTCGGTACAGTAGTTATCTTAGGCTCTAATTATTGGCTAACACGCCTGCATAAGGTATGCTATACTAACTTCTAGGTCTTGTAGAAATTTTTGAATTTTGGACTTATTGCCATTGAAATTGCTGTGCACCTGATATTTATCAGCCAATAGCTATAGATTGCTTCTCTGTTCGAATACAAGTAAAAACAACTGTTGTCGAAGCACACAGGGAGGAAAATTATCCAAGTGGTTTTGCAAATGTGGAGGCCGCCCAGTCGTGATTTTTGATCAACATCTGCAGTTATAAAGTAATAGAAACTCTCAGATGTTTTCCAGTTTGACCTGGGTAATAGCAGTTGCCGGGATGCCCAAGACGAGTAACCCCCCACCCCCCACACACACACGCGCACAAAGACTTTGAGACGGAGCAAATTGTAAGACAAGTCTACGTACACGTGTGTAACAGCAAGTATAGGCGCAAGAGCAACCACTGCACATTTATTCCTGGCGTTATATACATGCCATACGTTTGTTGAATACGTTGACAACTAGAACAGCAGAAATAGCGCGACCATAGCAAGTGAGTGTCACATTCGTGAAGAGTTTCACATTAGAATGCACCTCAATAGAGGGGAAATTAAGCAATATGCAAGAAACTAAGCCTTCTATTTTATAAGAACCCTGGCTTGAACAATGGCATAGCATAAGTTTTTTTTGAATAACGCTGTTTATATTTAAGATGTTTCCCGTAAAGCTAAAGAAATAGACATGTTTTTGTGAGTGCTGGTGGGTGATTTCCAGGATTTTAAAGACAGGTCTAATAGTTTTAACTTGACACACTCTTGACCACGAAAAAAAAAAAAAGACCGACGATTACTATACTGCCTACTGCGAATTCTCAGCTCAGCTTTGTGTCGGAGCGAAGCCAACTGTATTTGAAGTTCTCGATTTTCACAAGGTATTCACAGTGCCATAAAGAATAATTTTTGAGGAGTAGGACTGTACCGCCTACGCCATTATCCGTCTTTTTGCCGATAAGCGAGGTACCCGCTACACACCTGTAAGGTAGTATGTCTACTTTGTTGATGCTGCATGTGGGTGACGACGATGAATAATTATGGCCGAGCACTTCGCAGTGGGTTTGAAGCATTAGGCAACACACTCATTGAGTAAATATGATTGTGTGGTGATTTGGTGTCATTTCACTCTTCTGTCACTTTATATTGCGTAGGTTAGAGTGATGCTCTCCCTCGCCTATTACGTCAGCTTTGCATTGCATTCTCATTGTAAGGCCGACTGCGAGAGCGCTCTCTGAAGAGTGTAGAAGTTGCGCTGAAACTTTGCTTCGCCCACTCCCCCCCTTCTGCGCGCCTATTTTTTCATACCATCGGCGTACTTAAGCTTCCCTTCTTAATGTGATTCTACTGTCGTCTCAGCTTCCGTATTATTATTACTATCGTGACCACTTCCATCTTCCCCAGACCTGATAAGATGCTACTACCTTCATTTCGTAGAATTCTATGTTCCCCTTGACAGAATTTGCGTTCCTCCATTCAGAATAACGTACCAGTATCCGAGTGACGCAGAGTTCTTCAGTCACGCAGGTCATGAGACTCACGATAAATCCCATGTATCGAATTCCCGGCATTCCATTGGCCAAACTCGGAGGAGGGGGTTCTTGATTGTCGCGTCATCTGTTGACCAAAAAATAAACCAATAAACACTCGCGACGACGCGAACGCTGCATGCGGATTTGAACAGCTTGCGAGATGCGCATCACTGGGCATTGCCGTGGTGCTTTAGCGTTTTGTATTTTGCTCGGCTCTTGTCGAGGGAACCAGCCTTAACGTTAACGCAATGAATGATAATCTGACGAGTACCACTACGGAGTGTACAGTGGAAGTTGGAGGTACGTTAGTTAGACAGGACACTGGCAAGGTGGCCCAGGAAACGAAGAATCTAATTAAAAAGCGTCAAAGCATAAAAGCCTCAAGTGCAACAGACAAAATAGAGTTGGTAGAGCTTTCGAAGTCGACTAATAAACGTAAGGTATGCTATATAAAAAGGTACAACATGGAGAGATTTGAACACGCTCTGAAGAATGGATGAAGCGTCAAAGCAGTGAAGAGGAAACTTGGGATAGGCAAAAATCGGATGTATTCACTAAGGGACAAGGAAGGCAAAATAACGACCAATGTGGATAGGATAGTTAAAATAGCGGAGGAGTTTTACAGAGATCTGTACAATAGCCGGGACGACCACGACTTTAATACTATAATAACTAACAGTAACCCAGATGACACCCCACCAGTAATGATAGAAGAAGTCCGAAAAGCTTTGAAGAGCATGCAAATAGGCAAATCTGCTGGTGAGGACCACGTAACATCAGATATGCTTAAAGATGGAGAACAGATTATGTTAGAAAAACTAGCCACCCTGTTTACGAGGTGTCTCCTGATGGGTAGAGTACCAGAATCTTGGAAGAATGCTAACATCAACTTAATACATAAGAAAGGAGATGACTAAGACTTGAAGAATTACAGGCCGACCAGCTTGATCTCCGTCGTATACAAGCTATTTACAAAGGTCATTGCTAACAGAATTAAGACAACGTTAGCATTCAAGCAAGCAAAGGAACCAGCAGGATTTCGAACAGGCTACTCAGCAATCAGTCGCATTCATAACAATCAGGTAACAGAGAAATGCTCAGAATATAGCCAGCCATTATACATAGCCTTTATAGATTACGAGTAGGCGTTTGATTCCGTAGAAATATCAGCAGTCATGCAGACACTGCGGAATCAGGGTGTCAACGAAGCATATATAAATACCCTTGAAGAAATATACAGGGGAACTGCTACCATATAGTGTTTCTTAAAGAAAGCAACAGAATACCAATCAAGAAGGGTGTAAGGCAGGGGGATACAATCTCCCCAATGCTATTTACCGCGTGCTTACAGGAGGCTTTCAGAGGCATATAATGGGGACAGTTAGGGGCAATAGTTAATGGAGAGTACCTTAGTAACCTGCGCTTCGCCGATGACATTGCATCACTGAGCAGCTTAGGGGACGAATTGCAACTAATCATTACGGAGTTAGACACGGAGAGCAGAAAGGTAGGTCTTAAAATTATTCTGCAGAAAACGAAAGGGATGTACAACAACATAGCAAGAGAACAGCGCTTCGAGATAGGTAATAGTGCACTTGAATTTGTAAAAGACTGTCGATTTAGTACAGGTAATAACCGCGGAGCCGAACCACGAGATTGAAGTAACTAGAAGAAAAAGAATGAGGTGGAGCACATTTTGCAAGCACACTCAAATTATGACAGGTAGATTGCCACTATCCCTTAAGAGGAAGGTATATAACAGCTGTATCTTACCGGTACTTAGCTACGGAGCAGAAACCTGGAGACTTACAAAGAGGGTTCAGAGTAATTTGAGGACCACGCAGCGAGCAATGGAACGGAAAATGGTATGTGTAACCTTTTGGGACAAGACGAGAACAGAGTGGATCAGGGAACAATCCGGGGTTAAGGATATCATAGTCGAAATCAAGAAGAGGAAATGGACGTAGGCTGGGCATGTAGCGCGTAGACAGGATAACCGGTGGTCATTAAGGGTAACTGACAGGATTCCCAGAGAAGGCAAGTGGGTTAGGGGGAGACAGAAGGTTAGGTGGGCAGATGAGATTAAGAAGTTTGCGAGTGTAAAATGTCAGCAGCAAGCACATGACCGAGTTAACTGGCGGAACATGGGAGAGGCCTTTGTCCTGCAGTGTACGTAGTCAGGCTGATAATGATGATGATTCTGCGCCCAGATGGTGCGACAATTTGCAGGCCGCCGCAGAATTGGGCATGTTACGGTTTAGGAACGCAGTTTCTCAACCAGCATGATTGATTAACTCTGCGGTTGTTAAGGGGTGACGGGATTCGGTGAGGCTATTTAACGAACTGTGTTGTACCCTCGTGCAGGCGATCGCCGCGCTGACTCGCAAGAAGGTTCCCGAAGTGGCCGCCCCGCTCGTCATGCCCATCCTGGACTCGATGATGCGCAAGCACAACGAGACGTTGGCCACGCGGCGCAGCGTTCGCGAGATGCTCTTCGAAGGCTACCAGGTTGGACTGATGCGGGACCTCATCCGGCTGGCCAAGGCCTTCCTGCCCAAACTGGAGAACCCCCTCAAAAACAACACGTTCGGACTCTTCTTCGGGGTGGGTAACTACCAGGGCGTGTCGTATCGCTTGGTACATTTAGCAGCACGGACCCCAGCATTTGTCACATTGTAGTCAATACGTTACTTGTCAAGAAAGAGCCGCGAAAAAAAATTTCTTCTCTTCAGAGAAAAAAATTAAGGCAGCTTAACACCAGGGGTGTCATGCCGGAATGGTGGAGCTGGCCAGCCTTCTTTGTTTCTCTTCGGTTTTCTTTCCTCATCTCTTTTGTTCCTTTTCCCCTTTCCGTTTTTTTTTCAGTTTATTTTTCTGTTTGTCTCGATTTGTTTGTTCCTCCCTCTTTTTATATTTCTTTCTCTTTCTTGTTCTGCCTATTTTTCTTCATAGTATCTCTCTTCTTCTCGCTGTCTATTTCGCACTTGCGCCCTCTTTATTTTCTAGGTTTTATAAGCGGTTCTGCCTGCATTGCGCCAATCACTGTTTTTGTATTGATGATGGTGATGATGAGTGATCATCGTCAAGACACTCGAAGGAGACCGTTTCTCCTTGGTGCGAGCGCGCGTTCAATGTGCTACACACGGAGCGTTACCCAAAGCGACGACGACATCACACGTCGGCAAACAAAAGTCCGACCCCCTAAAGTGCTCCCCACTTGAACAGACTTCTTTTGTTGTATCTTTCTAGCCGCTGGGCAGGTCTGCACGGCTGGAGGCGCGCAGAGGGAACATGTAAATACATAAAGACAGTTTGTGGTGAAGACTGCTATGGCCTACTGCACTTCTTGGGGGGAGTGCAGCGCTATACATAAAGACAGTTTGTGGTGAAGACTGTTATGGCCTACTGCACTTCTTGGGGAGAGTGCAGCGCTATACATAAAGACAGTTTGTGGTGAAGACTGTTATGGCCTACTGCACTTCTTGGGGGGAGTGCAGCGCTAGGAAACACGTGTCAATAAAGTTTCTTTTTTTCGAAAAAGTCTGTCGTCAAGATTCAGTTGAAAGTGAGCGCCCGTGTTGTCTACTGTGTGTTCCTGGCCGTGCGTTCCCCAGCGCTGCATCCCCCCAAAAATTGACTTCGAAGCAGCTCACCCAAACGAAAGTTTCGCTACTGAACTTACGAGGGTCGATGTTCAATAAGCGTTCAGCAGGTCACACCACAATACAGTGCATAACTCCGCTAATGTGAATGGCAACTACTATACAAGGCAGTTTTGCGAACGTAGCTATACCTCCCATTGCTCGCCATTATCGTAATTTTGCGGCCAAGCGAAGCCGCAACCAAGACATATCGAATGTGGCGACCTTCGGTGAAAGCCCTCCAAGGCCACCGTCGGTCTGGCGGTCGAGTGCGGCAATAGGTAGTTTCTTTTTTTTTCTTCCGCAAAAGACAGCCGACATATATTTCTCGGATTACTCACTGGCGCGCATGACTGCACCCTCAGCGTTAGGTGCGTTTACTAGTGAGGGTTGAATCGCGTTCGAAAAACCTTGGCTTCGGCGAGGGGCAAAGACTAATCCACGTCGTCTTTTACGGGAGGTTACCTGGCGTATGCAGCTGCTTCACTTATTGGATTGAGCGAATTACGTGGTCAGACGCAACAGCCGCGGATTTGGTGTGTCGTCGTCCCTGAGCTTCGGTCGTCTGTGACAATCGCGGTCGAATCGCCCTTGAGTCAAGAGCGCGCGCCCCGCCAAGAAGTTTACGCACAAAAAAAGACGCAATCCGTTAGACGCTCGCCTTTTGTGCCAACGGACCCAACGAAACGACACGTGGCTTGCAGTAGCCCCGATTGCGAGGAGGCTTTCGAGACAGTCGATGGTACGGAGGGTGATTAGAGTTACATATATACGACATGGCCGCTTGATTCTTGCACTGATGCACTTGATCTCTGGGTGACCTTCGAGAAACGGCCTCGCCGCGGTTCCAGCGGCAGTCGATAGCCGCGTTACAAGATCGCCTTGCGTAACCACGTGTGCATCAACATATATAGAGGAAAGGAATTAATGGATGTATTGAGAGGGCCGGCGACACACAATTCACTCTTCTCTCTGTTTTTTTTAATCCTTCTTAACAGCTACAGACTAAGTGTCGCACTCAGAAGCTCTAAAGCGCTGGTTTTATTCCCGGCCACGGCGTCGGCATTTACATGATGGCGGAAGTACAAAAAAAAACACAAAAAAAACACCCGTGTGCTGTGCCATGTAAAGGCACGTTGAAAAACTCCAGTTCGCCGAAATTATTCGGACGACGTGCCGCATAACCGTATATTGTACTTTTTGGTTCGTAAGAACGTTATAAATCACTAAAATGTACAAATTGTGTCCTGTACCCTCCCCACCACAAGTGTGCAGCTTACAAATCAATCTGGATTCATTAATAGCTTCAGCCTGACAAATTTGTTCAAGGCTGCAAATGTTTGCAGTTCCAGCATGACATAAGGGGTCTGCTGCGGTATGGTTTCGCAACGCTTCCAGAAGAACATCGTATCAGCATTTTTACTGCTGCGAGACATCACTCATCTATATAGTGATTCAATGCCTGCAGTCGAGAAAGTTCTCTTCAAATGTTTCATTTTGTATTCTTTGTAGCAGTTACCATTTATTCATGGGGATAATTCCTAGCGCTTATATTACTTTTAAGAATCGTAAACAATTTAAAGGTGCTGCAATCGCGTTATAAAAAAAAAGATATCTAAATGTGATCTTTAGGAAGTTGTCAGTGCAACTTCATGAGCATGTTTTCGAATCGCAATGCAAAACAAATAACATACTCGCAGAACTTTCTACGAGAAGGTTATTCATATTTATTACACGCTAATACATAAAATAATCTTTCGCGCTAAATAACGAAGTAAAATGTGGCCACATACCGCATCTAATGACGTCCAAGCTACGCTTATGCAAGATAAAGTACGTTCGAAGTGCATGCACAGTAAATGAAAAAAAAAAACGCAGAAAAAAACCAGTTTCGCGCAAAAACGAAGTTATTAGTGCGATAGCAAGAAATCGCATTTTCACACAAAGAATGACAAGCAGCACGAAAGATTTAACGTGCCGTTAAGGCACAAAAAAAGACGCTTGAAAATAACGTACAAGTACCTCGCGTGGACTAACAACTGTCACAGTTGTTACATTCTTATACTTTTGAAAGTATTCAATGCGTTTGAGCAGGGCACTGCAAGTGTCGACTATGCAGAACCAGGTGCTACGAGATATTTTTTGTTCTTTTAAACTGCGCCACATGGAGAGAGACCCCTCTGGATTTCCTGCCACGTGGTGGCGGTTGATGCCAGGTGTGTATAGAGTTACTGTATATGCTACCTAAAGTAGGGTATACAGTAACTCTAAATGTGCACTGTTTTTTTTTCTTTTTTTATGCACCTATCGCCAGTGAGTACCAAAAGAGGCCACTCTAGAGTTCCTTATATATTTATACATATACATTTATGAAACATGACGGCGACGGTAAAAATCAAAATAAAATCACAATAAATAAATGGCAGTAAAATCAATTGAAGGGCAATTACGTGCTCCTAAGAGTATTTCTTTTTTTTTCTTTCTGGTCCAAACAGAGGAACAACAGCCATGACGGCCTGTACTCCGTGTACACCGGTGAAGACAGTCCAACGAAGTTCGCCAAGTTGGAACAGTGGAACAACCAAAAGTGAGCCTCTGATCCTTTCCCGCACGCTGTTCCGCTCTTGTTCCGGAAGACAGTGAAGTGACGCATATGAGTTTACGCCGCCAACGAATGCAAGAAAACGAGTCTGCTTTTTGCAGTTGTGAGTTACGATGTCGTCATTCAGGAGTATAATTTAATTGGATCCCTGCGTTATGAAGGAAGCAAAATGGTTTAGCTGCAACACACTGCCCTGTGACCACAGGGTTAACAAACGTTTCCGCCGTATACGATGTCTTTTAGCATTAAAAAGAGCAAAACGCTACGACGGTTTGACCTGTAACTAAAGTGGTGTAACAGCGTACATTCGCAGACATTGGGCATTGTTTGTTACAATACCTACAGGCCTTTCCCTCTTTCTGTGTGGCGGGGGGGAGGGGGAGAAAGAGCGCGTGCGAGCAGTGTAATAAAAAGGTGTGCTATAAAAATATTATAAAAAGACATGACAGGCTTTTAACGTGATAGTGTTTAAGAGCTCGTTTCGCTAAAATTCTGGTGTCTGTGTAGCTGTTCATGGACAAAAAAAACCCCAAAAAATCTTAGGTTCGACTGAGAATCGAACCCAGGCTTTCCGCGTAGCAAGCAGGTGTACAGCCGCGAAGCCACGCCATTGATTTATTTCTTATTTTAGTGCTTCAGTTTTCAACAGTGCTAAGAAAGCACATATTTTGTATTATTTAATGTTCAAAAAAGGTTTTCATGCGGGGTACCCCATTAAGTTCGTTCTTTTGGATTTTTCGTTATCCTAGTAACAAAGTGAGAAACTCTTGGAAGTATTTTATGCCTTTCCGAGCATTAGAATAAGCGTGACTAACAACCACGCGTGACCTCCAAATTGGGGAGCAGGTTAGAACCCTGGTGTGCCTCTGGAAGTCGCGGAGCTGCACTGTTTCCTACGTACGGTGCATGGTGCGCAATGCGATACGATCGGGCTTCTATTATTTAGGGAACACAATAGCTACGACGAAAATTGGCTACGATTCTCTCTTTTATAACTCATATCACACTAAAATGTTGTTTTGTTGTTGAGGTAGCATTATTCTACTCTGCCGCAGTCACAGAGCACTCGTTGTTACGAAGTGTTAAGGAATACTACCAACTGAAGCATGTTCACGCGAATCACGCAGGTCTCTCAGCTACTGGGCTGGACCCACGTGCAACATGATCAATGGCACCGGTGAGTAGCTATGCCTCGCATATTTCAAACCTCTTGGTGCCTGCCACGGCGACAATATTTGCAGCGTTACTGTGACAGTTCCACACTATCTGCCGTATACCTCACTGTTTCCAGTGTTTAGTCTCCGTTACGATTGTTCGGAATAACTGTAGAAACCAGTGGTGCGTGATTGATATAAATAAGATACGTTTAGAATATCCATGAGCGAAAATTGGGAAGGATGTTTACTGAAGCAAGGTCGTTACTGATAGGACGAATAACAGTACATCATGGCAGTAGGAGCTTGCAGCAAGAAAAGGATATTAAGGAGAAACAGTGTGTTCAAGTGCAATGGATCGAACACCGCAATATTAAAAAGAGACAGACCGGGAGACCAGTGATATTCACCCTTCAATATATTATTATTATTATTATTATTATTATTATTATTATTATTATTATTATTATTATTATTATTATTATTATTATTATTATTTCCCATATGTATATCACACATAAAACTCGCCGTTGTGCGATCATTCTGGTATCTCCATTTACATAATGTACAAGTCCTCTGCACTGCGTTTATACACCTAAACAACACAAATGTAGAAACAATGGAGCCGACAACGCATTTCTCTTGTGAATTAGCACGTCGCAAAATGCACTACTCCATGATGGGGGTAATAAATCATAGTTGGCTCTTAATTCATTCGCACGACAATGAGATTCCTGTAATGTTAACTTCAAATTAAAAAAAAAGTGAATGTCTGCAAAAAAAAAGCGCAGATAGTTTTTTGGTATAGAAATCATCAGCCTCATCAGGGAAGCAATCTGTGCACAAGTGGTAATAGCAAGCAAAAATGAAAATTCGTTCTGATATTTTTTTTTCGCCGTGCAGACGGGGGCCAATTTGCACCGTTCCTCTCAAAGGACACCACACTGTACGTGTTCTCAACGGATCTGTGCCGGTGAGTTTTCAGCAAACACAGTGTGCTGCAGTAAATACTCCAGAATACCGAACGGGAAGGATGCATGATTAGACAGTACTTAAACTAAGGAAGTAAGTTGGGCTTGTTGAAAAACATCCGTATCAAGACTGCAGTATACGAGTGCTTTCCAACAACCGAAGCCTATATTAGGTGTAAAGAACAGTAGCAAAATACGACCTTTGAACGCATGTCTTTGTGATGTTATGAAATAAATACACCAGCATGGCTCTTCCACTCAAGTCTTTTGGCAGGAGGAAAGATACATGGCTACACTACAAGGGTAACACTATACAAATAACAGACTACAATGAACACAAGACACAGCTGGATGCACTTTTAAACTGTGCCTTGCGTGCTTTGCAGTATACGATAAGTGAACCGAGCTACCACGAGCCGGCTAGCCCCTTTCGTTGCATTATTCCATTTTGATTTATCTCTACATCCTTGAAGGGAAATGTTGCCCTGCCAGTTCCGGTTTGAGTAATAAGGTATAAAGCAATAGCTTTGTTCGGCATGCACTCAGCATTAGGGAGATTTCTTGCGTTTCAAGAGTAAGCCAAGAGCAGATATGCTTTATTGGGTCATCACTATTCACTTTATACAAAAATTTCTAGGACATTGAGCCATAGTAACGTTACCTTTTTTTATTAAGAATGACATAACCTGACTTCAATTAAAAGTTCGACATGTTTCCTTGTGCTCACTTTGACTTGGGTTTCTGTGTCTCAGATGTACTGTTATTGGGAAACTACAGTCGGCCTCTTGTTTTTTTCAACTGCCTCTCAATCTAGCACATTTATCCATCTATCTTGCACAGGCAAATGTAGCCAGTAACATTTTGATCGTCAAAACTCCGGAAGTATTACGTGCTGAAAGCCGTAAGTCCGAAGACGTTGCAGATGAGCTCCGTTGCAAAGTGGCGCAAATAAAAAGAGGCGCAACCTTTCGGAAAGGCGAGGAGGTGATGCCATCGGGGTGGCAGAACAAGTTTTGCCACGAGGCGCACCCAAGAAGTCGCGGAGGACATTTGCACTTTACGCTGACCTTGAAGTGTCTCGGTAAGCGTCGACACGACGCATCTCATCCCTTCTATCTGGCTCTCGCAAAGTTTGTGCTTGCATAGGTGAGCAGATGGAGTGGTGTCGTCATGATATATATATATATATATATATATATATATATATATATATATAGCAACAAGGAAAACCAGATATTCGGGAATCGAGTACGGGAAATTCCCCAACTAATGACGTCAAACGATGACCAACCGAACATGTCTCCTTAGTGACCTCCTCACATACGTCAAGCCCCGCCGCGGTGGTCTAGTGGCTAAGGTACTCGTGTGCTCAGATTTTCGTGTACGTTAAAAAAAAAAAAAAAACGGGTGGTCGAAATTCTCGGAACCCTTCACTACGGCATCTTTCATAATCACATGGTGGTTTTGGGACGTTACACTCCACATGTCAATCAATGAATCGCATACGTCAAAGATCACTTTGTGTGCATACGTTTTTCAGTAAGGTAGAGAGGCAGGCAAGTTGGAAACGATTCATGTATGTAAAAATCAGCTTGGACAGGACGGAGCACAAGAGGAGAATGACAAACTGCGAGCGCTCTTACGCTGTCCTCATCTCGCGCTTCGTTCTGCTCACGCCAATTTTTACGTACGCGCTTTTCGACATGATATTTAAAGCCTTCCGAGATTTGCACAAGCGTTGTATAGACGCCTTCGTACAATTTTACTACGGTGCTACCTCTTCACATTCAGTGAGGTCACTATGAATCACAGCGGTGTTGTGTGTCACGTTCGATTAAAAGGCGCAGTTGTGGCTATTTCGCGCAAACAAACAATGAGGCAAGGGTCAGAGGAGTGCATTGGTCCTTCCCTCGTTGTTTGTTTGCGCGAAATAGCCATAACCGTGGCCTATAGTTGGACATGGACCGACTAGCCCAACATCGTGTACTTCTAGACTATGTGTCACGCAGTCACCCGAGTCATGAGTTTTGCTTAGCGAATCGTCATGTGACTTACCCTGGGCATGTTGTAACCGACAGCAGCCCATTTTATAATATTCGTTGCATGGACATGTTGCAGGGTGCAAAGAAAAGAGTGGAGTAGGTTGACGCGCAGTTTAGGACTCTCGATTTCTAGTTTTGATGACTCGGGGTTCTCTAACGTGAACAAACTGCAGCAAAGTACAGCAAGGTACACCTATGTCATCGCAATCAGCCGCCACGTGAAATGAACCTCGACGAAATACCATTGTCGTGGTACATCTAAGGCATCCTGTACAAACCAAACACAGTACAGACGCTAGGAAATGCTGTAGTAATAACACTGTATGTAGTTGCGACATCACCTAATCTGAGTATGCGAACGGCCCGCGATCGCGTCTGCGGGGTTATTTGACAGCAGCTGTTCTTAAACCAGGTGGCACGTTCCGTCCCGCTGTGACAACGCGCTTTGCAACGCGCGTGTGTGAGTGAATCTTTCCACCGATGCGTGGCCTGACACGCGCTGACTCATGTAGCCATCCAGGCACGCTCACGTGTCGTCTTCCTCGCACCCTGCTGCGTCACTCCATTGTGGCCGCTGCTTTGTGTTCTGAGACAGCCGCAGACGTATGCTCCTACACGATCTCTGAAATACCCAGAAGTTGCGCTGTTTACTGGCGCCGCTAAGGTTGTAGCTCCTCTTGTGTTTCTATGTTGATAAGATGTGGGGAACAAAAGGTGGACTCTGCCCTTGTGACCACCGACTCTCACTCCATGTGCCGTATACTTTTCAGGCTGGGGTGAGTCCAAGTATAGCAATGAGAATCCTTGGGACAAAACTACTGAATCCTAATTTAATACTAGGATGCCCCGTGCACGCGGGACTTGAGGGCAACGAAAGTGCAAACCGGCTTGCTCACTACATCAGCATTCCATAGAGTACTGGTCGCTACCCTTAAATTAAAGCACCACATAAATTTCACACTATAGACGCACACTTATCCGTGTTAGGAGGATGGGGTGGCCAACACTGGCTCACATACGTGGGAACCCCAGAACAATCAGTCCTCCCTTTTTGAGGACATCCTCTCGATGGCGGGAGTGGAAGGCTTGGCTAACTGTATGCTCGAATGAGCCAGGTGAGCCGTAAAAGGCTATTGGGGCCGTGGACTTGCCCACTGCTCAATAGCAGTGGTTGCTACTACTACTGCTACTACTACTATTGTTATAGTGTTTATAGCTGTTTCAGTGCTTTCACCACAGATCAGTTCTGTTCTGGTTCATATGATGACGCTCAAAATTGACTAGCATCCACACGAGGCAGGAACTGAGTGTCGTTACCGCAGGTCCATGTACTTCCGCTACGAGAAGGAGACCATGGTGCACGGCATCCGCGCCTGGCGCTTCACCATCCCGGCGTCGCTGTTCGAGTCGGCGGACATCCGAGAAGAGAACCGCTGCTTCTGCCTCACGACGCCCGTGTGCCCCAAGAGTGGCGTGACGCACGTGGCTGCCTGCCGCAAGGGGGCGCCTATAGTGCTCTCCTCGCCACACTTCTACCACGGCGACGAGGAGTTTGTGAACGCCGTGCGCGGGCTCAAGCCCGTCAAGGAGATGCACGAGACATTCCTCGACATACACCCGGTGAGCATCAGTGAGATAGGGGCGATGCCACATGACGCGCCTCTTTCACTTTGCACGGGAAGCCGAATGGTGTTATGGTCGCTTACCACGCTGCTCTGACCATTTGCTATGATGCATGTGCAAGAAAATAAAGCCAAACGGGACTTCTTACATATGCTGGATTCACAGCACGAGCCATCTTCAAGGTATTGCGTAAAGTAAAAGAAACCTTGGCCCAGCTAAAACATGTTTTGTGTTTCCGGGTGTCCAAGAAGGGCTTTAGCTCATTCACCGTCTTATGCAGCAACGCCTAACCGCGCCGAGGTTTGCAAATTTCGATCCATCGTGAACCTCTGCGATCTCGAAGCGTATACAGAATCGTGTGTTGAGACATCAGTGTGGGTTGAAGCGTTCGGCGTTCCGGTTGCCGAGGCGCGGCACGGAGTGCAAACGAAACAAAATCACCATAAACTACACCGGATAGACTTGCAAATGCAGGGCACCGCTGCAGTTCGGGAAGCTCCGGGACGACGTCGCACTTGCTTCACTAAAAGAAAAAGCAAGGTCAGTCAGCTTGCGCAGTCTCCTGCGAACTTTGTGCTTGCACAAAAAGCTCTTCACCAAAACCGTTGAAAACCCATCGTGTCTGCGATGAGCCCCATCGTTTTTTCGGGCGGTATTTCTGCGTGACCGGCCACTGCACCGAAAGAGGTCAAACCGGTAGCCCTCGTGCTTTTACGTCGGTTGGGGTACTGCGTGACCTGTTTATAGATAGCCTTATCGCGCATTCACGTGTACGCCATATCGCTGCGCTCGCAAGCTACCCTTCATGACAGCACATGATTTCCATATGCGTGGTAACACTACTTGGTAATTTATCACCAGAATGAATGAATGAATGAATGAATGAATGAATGAATGAATGAATGAATGAATGAACTTTATTTAAAGTCCGACAGTCTTCACCAGGTGAGGTGGGAAGCCAAAAGAGAAAAAAAGAAAGTTTCTATAGCTTGCACTGCCAAGCTCGCGTCTTCTAGCCCACAACAATTGACCGTCATGCTTATACAAGGACATAGTGAGTCTCATATGAAGTGTTGTATTATTATAACACATTACAATTAACTCGTGTAACATCCACTATAATTTCTTTAGCATGATTATTCGTTAGATCTCAATAATGTTGAGTCTAACAAATAAAAATGAGCCCTTAAGTATACACTTCTTTCCTTAATTACACTATCTGGCGATTTACGTACTAAAATCAGGATATCATTATGAGGCAGAGCGCAGCTGTTGAAGGACTCCCGAGACTTCGACCACCCTTGAGGTACACCTATAAACGCAAGCCTCCACGAGCGCTTGAACATGTCTCACGCTGTGAATCCAGCATATAAGTGCCACCTGGCTTTATTTTAATGCGCGTATCTTGGCGCACATTTAGCCTCGATCAAAATGCGGCCATGCGGCCAGCCCGGATTCAATCCCGTGACGTTCGGCTCAGTAGCAGAGCATCATAACCAGACAGCTGCAGCCGATAAGGAATACTTTCAGACACATGATCATACGTGACTAAAGAGATCCAGTAAAAAAAGAAAAAAACGTTTTCTGTAACTTAAGCGTGATCTTGTGCCTTTGGTTTGTCAGTTCGCGTTAACGAATAAGCTATGAAAATAAACCATATAAAAATAATACGTCCGAATTGGGGCGGGGGGGGGGGGGGGGCAGTGGTTTTTAGAATGGGAAAAGAAAAGAGAAGTGAATCCCGCAACTGTCTGCAGCTAAGTGCGACACCTCAGCAGTGGTTCACAAGGGAAGGAGAATGGGGGAGCAATAGGTTGAGCGAAGAGAGGAAAGAAAAAGGAGAGAGCGAGCGAAGAGGCCAAAAAGGAAGAAGGGGGGGGACGCACAAATCGTCTACCAAAAGTGCCGGCGCTTTGTCTATGTTTAACTCGTTGTACAGGAAGATTATCTGCCTGATATGTTCTGTAGAAGAGCTTAGCAAGCACAAACGCCGATTCGCAGAGTGTACGGTTTTTCAGCGCGAACGGGTGCTTACACAGCTGAGTATGTCAATTATATTCGAGGAATTCTTGTAATTGCTGAAACTATTATTGAACGCATACAGTTATCTCCCGCAAGTACCTACACTTGATGTCACCTGATCGCTGACTTGATTACTTCTTTTTTTTCTCTCTCTCCTGCAGCTGACGGGTCTTGTCATGCGGGCATCGAAGAGGCTTCAAATCAACGTGGATCTCAAGGGTAACGAGCGATTGACGTAAGTGACGATGAACACGTACAAGTATCGTGACTGCATGTGAGATTACCGCAGGCATTCTTATATGACTGCATGCACGTGTCGGGTTCAGCGTCCGGGAGCATCACGGAGACTTGCGGATGTGGCGATGCAACGCTTTAAAAAGAAGGAATCAAGTTCGCGCGAGAAGCTTGCTTGCGGGAGGGGGCGTAACCGCATACGACCTCTACATCTAACCCGCCCGGCCGGAAGTCGGGCCCATAAGCCAATGGGAGCAGTGACCCGAACGGAGCTCGAAAGAAAGTATACATACAAACGCGATCAACGACTGCGTTCCTTAACATGAGTGTCTGGGTTGCCAAAAACAATCCCTTGGTTGGAAACTTTTAAGCAGGACGAAACTTCATTTGTCCAAGGAACTTCGTTTTCTCTAGAACTGGGCAGCGCAGAGTGGTCGGACCACCACAGGCGCCCGTGATCCTATCGGTTTTCCGGACCAGCCTGCAGTCTCCGAGGGCAGTAGTGGACAGCTATGCCTCCAACCTCAATCTCTTGCGATCTACTTGCTATGCACTTTTGAGCTGTGCATTGCCATGCGATGCAGTGGAGCGTCTGTGTGCTGCCACATCATGGACATTTGTCTTTGTTTGCTGTGGGTATATGTATACATGCTATGTATGGGTGTTGTATGTGTATAGCCTACGTAACTCCGCTGAGTCTACGGCTGAAAGTTTCTTGTGTGGTGCTGGGCAGAGTCTCTTAAATTTTCTGTAATACTACAAGATACACAATCATATCCTTCGTGTTTAGATATTCGGGACGGGCTAAACAAAAAAAAAATAAATGCTGGCGCCTTTGCTCTGCAGATTACTCAAGAACGTGCAAGACACTATATTCCCAGTTGTCTGGATTGAAGAGGTAAGGACTTAATGGAAGCGACGTGCATGCAATTTTTGTGCAAATTACTGCGTGCTAAAAATGAGTAATCAGAGAGAGAGAGAGATAAAGATGCAAGGAAAGGCAGGGAGGTTAACCAGACGCACATCCGGTTTGCTACCCTGCACTGGGGAAGGGATGAAGGGGAGAAAAGAGGTTGTAGAGAGCTAAGAAGGTACACACAAATCAACACTACTTATGGGGCCGAATACCTACAAGTTAAGGGGTATAAGGACAACAAAGCGATTACTTCATCCGTATATGTTGTCTGGTGTATAAACGTTATTTTTGCATTTAGCACAATTCCGCGCCATTTCCGTAGCCCACGGGGACTGTCAGTACCTTTGGAAATTTTCGCATTTAGTGAATAATAATTGCAGCCTCTTTTTTTTTAAATTACATCCTCACAGGCCCTGCAGTGTGTTTTAGGTAGAATGAGGGGCCAGTACGAGCACGTTGTGGCACAGTCATTAGAATAAGAGATACGCATAATAAGTATAAAATAAAACCGTAAACATAATGTGCTTAAAAATCGAATAGTTATTTTACAAGAACAAACAATATATAAGTAAATGTTTATGTTACATTGCATGTGAGTTTGTTTAAAAGACTCAAATTACAGTAAAAAAAGATAGCTGCAGTGCTGTTTAATACAAATTACGTAAAAGAAAAAAAGAATGTTAAAAAATTCTAGTCGGCAAAACAAAAAACATGAATAGGCGTCAAAGACACAAATCATATTGCCGTATGCATAAGAAGATAGCGAGTAAGGGAGCACGTATGTTCGCTGAAGTACATTATGTTATAGAATTAATTCTCAACGTGTTGCCTCCTTCCTTAATCTCCTGGCATTCAATGCGTCCTCATTGGCGCAGAGGGCCGAGCTAGCTCCTTCCATGGCAGAAGAGTTCAAGCAGAAGGTCGAGTTTCCGATGAAAGTGGGCAACGCAGCGACAGCGTCCGGCCTGATTCTCGGCGGCATTGGCTCGTGCATATGCGCCATCATGGTGTTCATCTTTTATATGCAGGTGAGAATGTGGTGGACGTTTCTTGCATTACGGGAAGTGACAACACTACAGTAAAATGTGTTTCATTCGCTCACACTCAAAAATAAACGCTACGGGGCGGGAGCTTCAAGAAGCGACTATAAGTCCCCCATAAATTTGCACGGTGAATACTTGAAGAAATTTTAATGATTATTATAAAACTATCTTGAAGTATACTGAAAGTCCGAAAACTGAAGTGTGGGTCTTGACCGAAAAAAAAAAAAATTAACACCGCGCATTTCAGACGGGAAACTCACGAGGAAGAGGCATTTTTTGAACATGAGTTACGTATTGTGCGCGTAAACTAAAAACAGACGCTACGTTTTTGAAAGTTTTTTTATGTATTTTAGATGCACAAAAAAAAAAAAGATGCGGCAATATGCATACAGCACGTACTCACACGTGCAAGTACTCATGTACCAATACGCAGCAACGCATAGTGTGTTCATAAAAATTATGTACAACATTTACTGTAACGATGTATTTGTACTTTACACAGGAAGCGAAACGTCCTGGCAGGGCATTAGCAGGGGCGGGAGAGAGAGAGAGAGAGAGTGAGAATTTATTAGAAGGCAGAGAGGAGGGGAACTCCCTATACCTCCGCACGTATTCGCTCTCGGCAGCAGCAGCGCCGCTTTTACCACTGGCGGTTGGCGGGCATCCTATATAAATAACGAGGAGAAAATTATTTTTATGATGTCACTGGTGAGGTCTCTAAATAGAGGGAAAAAACGAAAATTCGAGAGAAAGAGGGTTGCCTCTGAAGCCCTCCTTTCCCACTTCGCATAAATGCACTCGTGCCTTCTTTCAGGTCTGCTGGCCGCTTGGGCAATGCGGCCATAAAATTTTGCTCATCTTTATTTTTTAATTTTGTTCGTGTTTTCTGAAGAGGCGAAAGTTAAGCTGACTGATTTCTCAGTAAGACGAAACTCGATCGACACAAATTAAATGCACTTTTTTTATTGCACGTTTGTGTTTAAAAAAAAACAGATACATACACCCAGTGTCAAAGTGTCAATCTATAAGTGCAGCTATATTTTGCAACTGACATATGGACACAATAAGAAAACGTTGAACCCAGAATATCTGAACCAATACGAAAACTAAGTCGTGAGTTGGACGCGTCGTAATTAACTCAATCACGTTTGTTATGACGGTGCGCATAGTTTTCTTACAGAACTTGAGTGTCAAACGAGACTGATGTTCAGAAGTACGGAGATGCTTGAAGCGATCAGAAGTTTTGAGAGAAAGAACGTCGCTGGAAACAGTGTTTCGGCAAGCTGACTTGTCTTCGTCGGAGCAACAGCGTTACCTTGACGAAGAAGAGTTCACTTGTCAAAACGTTGGCTCCATCTACGTTCTCTGTGATATATTTTTAGAATAATTTTGTCCATCACGTTTACTTGAGTGACACTATTACAAGTATAGACTCAAAAATTTTGAAACCACGGCTAGAAGGATTTCATGAGCAGGAAGCAGCCTATAATTACTTGAAATCACTTGAATTACTTGCCAAAAGTAAAAAAAAACTAGAACTATATAGCCAAGCCAACTCGAATCCAAGCATTTCAATAAGCGCATTTTCCCGACAGGAGCTTGGCTGTCGTCTTAACTAATTAGTTAAGCGACACTTCCCTTCTGTCAGTCCATGCTTGCAGAGAACTGGGTTTTCTCAAATGTACTCATACAAAATCAACACCTGCTCAAATAGTGGGTCCTAATTCTTGTGCTCAACCCTTGTAATTGCTGAATAACCTTCGCGGAACTAGAAATACTCAGGTTAGCACACTGCAGAGCTGCGCAAAAGATGTGTTGCCCGATTAAGCCATCTTTGACGAATGCATGGTTGACTTGTCCGACGTAGCTCACCGTGGCTTCTGTTCTCTGCCAACCACAACTTGCTGCCTTTATGTTCCCCGTAGTTTACACGCCAACCAAGCCAGATAACTTAGCGCGATCCAACTTCTCATCACTGAGCGAGGGGCGAGAAGAAGCGCCGTCAGGCGCTACGAACGCGCGTCAATCACTTTCCGCGCTTCCCCTGATTTAAACAAAAAATTTCGAATCGCTAACTTCTGGAAACCCAAACCAGGCATGCGTCAAAAGAAAGATGAAGTTTGAGTGATCAGGAATTACTGAACAGGGAGTTTCACCGAAGCAAACGCTTCGACAAAGTCTCCGCCAAAGTAGCAACTTTATATAGCCGCCAGTTTTTTTACGCTTGTCTCTCTCCCAACATCCTTCACTTATGTGGTTGGAAGAGAGTCAGAGAACTGCGCACAAACACGCCGTTGAGGAATTCAGTTTTTGTCTGCCTCAGTGACATGTTCATTTACGTTTTGGAACTGTGGAAATGACGTTGCGGCTACATAGTCGACCGATCCTGACAATGAACGTGCCATCGAATAAATCTTCCGGCATTCTGCCATAACTGCCAGAGAAAGTCACCGTGAAACTGAACATTTCCGTTGAGTCGTACTCATCAAAGTGGCTAACCGCGTTAAATGTGTGACTGCTGCTATGCAGGGCAAGTCCAGGACGGCTGGCATCAGCTCCGAGTACACAAACGGACTGAAGAAAGTTCCGCACACGTAGCTTTTTCGCAACATTCGACGTGCTCACGTAGCTGTGTGCGAATCCTCACCGCATTGCCGAACACCGTCGCCTCGTCGTCAGCTCGTTGCACCGCCACCGGATGGACGGCCATGAGACATGGTCACTCGTGAGGGGACACGCTTCATCAAGTCTGTGCGGCTGTTCCTGGTACATAGTTCAAAACTGCGTGAAGGACGCCCATGCCAGAGTGTACACTTAGTCAACACGTCGTACTTTTTAAGCCTGTGAGAACGTTTTTATTTCTTTCGTGTCTGCGACAAACCATTGCCGTCCAGCGTGCAACGTGGGATCGAAAAACGAACGACACTCATCACCTTCAACCATTCAGAGCAAGACTGCTGCTTGAGTGAACCAACTCAGCGTACTGGAGTCACGCTAACGAAGCTTTGTGAAGTCCCAAAGGGCAAGGCAGAGTATCTGAGTCTAACGGCTGCGATCTTGCGCCCTTTCCCACCACACTCGCCGGCCCTTCACTGAGTTCACCACGGAGGCCTTATGGCTGAGGATGGGGACCAACACCTCGAAGTGTACAAGATAACAGCGGTCATCTTGCATCGTGTATTGTGGTGCTGCCCAATGGCCGCTTTGTGATCACTGCTCCCGACAGCCCTCAGCACAGTTAGAGATGTACGAAAGGAGTGCATCAGGCATATCGAGTTTGCTACACGACTCTCACCGCAGATCACTCACACAGCCTTGCGCTGCTGAGCAGTCAGTTCTTACATGTGTCATTATTTTGGTTTATAATGATAGCAATAAAGTTGTTATTATTTAGACTCGTTATTCCGGCTCATCGGTGTAAAACGTTTTTTTCCAACGGCCACAGAAAGGACAGTGGCGTGGGGCACCTTGTTATCTAGCAGTGCGGTATTTGTCTCACATTTTGGCTGCTTAAGGTGGCATGCAACACTGACTTCCGGTAACTGCTATGCAGATCTACGACAGAAGGACGCAATTAGGGTGAGTATGTTTACTTTGCCTTTCAGGGAAGCCTCATGGGATTTCCTACCGGCATGCTGCAACACTAGCAGCATTCGTTAAATATTTGGTAAATAACCCAATCATTACGTTGATACTAAAGTAATACGACGCCGCATTTAATCAGATTTTTCCTTAGTGCTTGCTGTCGCGTTTTTTATTGCCTTTTTACTTCTTTTCTGGCTGTTTGCTTCTGCTTTCCTTGTCGTTTATTGCGGAAGTTGGCTTGAGAAATAGTCTGGATATCCCAAGCTTATGTTGTGTTGAGCTTGACCTACGCAAAAAAAAAAAAAAAGACAAGTGTGCTCAGATTTGGGCGCACGTTAAAAAATACCCACGTGGGCGAAGTTAAATGGAGCCTCCCACTACCACAAGCCTCATGGTTGCATCGTGGTGGTTCTCTCGGTCGGTCCCTACGTGGGAGACGCCCGCTAAGCGCGTCCTGCAGGACTGAAATAAAGTTTGTTTCATTCCATTCATTCATTAATACCGCTAAAGTCTTGAATGCATTATCAAATGCGAAGATTGACGGACGTCTACTGTGGGTGGTGTCAACACAAGGGATGCGAAAATGTTAATGTGACGACGGTAACATATGACGCGATTATGACTTCACATACCGCAAAAATTTACAATGTCGGTACAGCACCACTGTTACATACCGTGGACGTCATCACATGGCAACTGCTTGGTCAAAATTTCTCGATGCTAAAGGCAGTGTAAAACAAGGCGAGGTGCTGAAAGCTCTCCTTTGGCAGAGTGGGAGAATGAGCCCCGAGAATACGACGAAAAGGGCGTTCGTCTTCGAGTCGGCGGGTGTGTGTGCCACTGTCCAAGATTCTACTCTACTCCACACACGATTCGCTCCTTGTCATTGTTTTCGGAGTTCACCTGCAAATCGAAAATTCCACTTATGCCTGGTTGCGTACATATTGGCACCAACCTTTGGATAATAAAGAAGTAACCGTTAAACTGCGAGGGCTCAACGGCAACAGTACCGAACGAAACTGAGGCAGCTGCTTAAGGGACCCGACAATTATTTTTGTTCTGCCTCCTATGGCCCGTACACACACTGTGAGATTGGCCAAACCGCGTAGCTGAAACTTTAAAAGGCTATTTGAACATCGTTAGGTGAATTAAAATATAAATTAGATGAAAATATTACGTAATAAATTAGATTAAGACTACAAGTATTACGCTATTGAGCTCGTATTTCAAACTGCTGTATTACACTAATGGAAAGAGTTTTGAAGAGACCAGTTAAGTTTTACCACATTTTAACAAGCAATAGCTTCGAATACAAGATTAAAATGTTACTCATTTTAGCAGTTATAAGAAAATTCTCCTCCTTCCCTTACATTATTATTATTATTATTATTATTATTATTATTATTATTATTATTATTATTATATTATTATTATTATACGTAGTAGTATTAATGAATGAGTTCATGTTAAAGGCAAACACATAATACATTCTGATTACTTCTTTTATTCTTCTTAATTTTTTGTATCGTTGTGTGTATCTTGTATACTACTATCATGATGTAGGCATAGCCGGCTCTAACGTAGCCTTCCTTTCAACATATTTTCATATACAAAATTAAAAAAATATTGGAACAAAGTGTTTTTCCATTGTCTCGAAGCATGATAGAGTGAAGTCATTGGCGTGTGCTCTAATTCGAGAGCGGACTGCCTGTGGAGCGCGAAATAAAAGAAATGAAGAGAAAGGTCAATTATTCGTGGTGCATATTTCTGTCAGTTAAAGTCAGAACTCGGGATAATGTGCGCACTATGGCTGTAGCTGTGCAAGTTGGTGTTAGGCGACAGTATACGCGGACTCTTGTTACGTCAGATTTTATTTAGCGTCACGTATAAATATTTTTCTATTTATCAAAAATATTCGAAAGACAGTACGTCGTCTGTTGCCGAAGAACGCTATTCTCCGGGATGCTGACAGATATTTTTTAAAAAATATTTTTTACACACCTAAGTGGTGTGATCAATAAAATTGGGGCGTACCGGAATACCACTTAGCGCAAGTTAGCATTACCGAGTTGCATCACGTGAGTACACGTAGAAGGAAGTGCTTGAGATAGCAAATCGAAATATGGGAGGAAGAGCAGACATACTTACTTATGGTGGAGAGTTCATGGAGCGAGTAGCCTAAACGTAACCTTTGAAACATACACTTGATCGAGTGGAAGGTGGCGGCGTAGTTTGGCAAGAAATTTGCAACTCACTCAGATTTAAGAGATATATTTTGGCTCTCTTAGTCTCGCCTATACGTTTCTCTCAAGTGTACTCACTCGAATGTACTCACTTTTCTCGGGTCTCACTCTATTCAACCTCACCAGAACATTGCTCGCTGATTAATATGTGGGGTTCAACGTCCCAAAACCACCATATGATTAAATTTGTACCACCTGAAACATTGCTTGCGCGCACTCACTCAAGAGTCACGGCTGGTTCTCACCCCCGTATTCTAGAGCCTCCCTTCACTCGACGCTTCGCATTCACTTGAGAAAGCCGATAGGAGCGCCATCTCTAGGCACGGCAAGTCACTGCATATCAGCAGTAGTCCGCTGCGATTCTTGAGTAGTGCAGCGTCATTTTCAGCCGAGCGATGACGCAGTGCTAAACTCTGTCAAGCGAAGGGTGAGGTCGAGTCATGGAGCATTTGTAAATACGGGGTGAGTTTCAGGGAGTCGACTCATGGGCGAGTTTGCCGAGCTATTGTTTGAAGTATGTTCAGGAACTTATCGTGGTGTGTATAGATTTATCTTTCCGCAAAATCCATGAAGGAAAAGACTGTTCCTCGAGTCTGTCTACTCTGCCTTTAGAAGATATGACTTGTTACCCAGGCAGCCTAAACCCTAGTTACCCTAACGACGGTTACGTTAACCGTGGTTCGTTGATGTTACACGGCACACGAAAACACGGTTATGCCACTAACCGTGGTTTTAAGAAGCCGAACTCTGCAACCTCGGTTAGGCAGATAACCTCGAAAATGGCGGCGCTCACTACCGATGAGTGCATGAAAGCGGACGAGCTGGACGGCACGAACCACGCGTAAAGCCTGATAAGGATGTCGGCAAATCATTTGAGTGACATACGTGGAGCACGTCACGCAATGCAGAAGCGTACGCGGCAATTACAGCCGAGTTGAACGCCGAACTTCCATTTGACGCAGAGAAACTCACGCCAAAGCAAGTCCGCAAGAAGATCAGAACAAGAAGTACCGGTAAGTACATGAATATACTAGGGGGCACATATGACATTTTCGCCTGGTTGCTGCTGAATGTATTCAGAGCATTTATACGCAAAGAAGTGGCTATGTTGATTGTTCTACGCCAGATGGCGTTAGCCAAACTTAACCGAGGATGCTTTCGTGCTGTGTAACATCGGCGAACCATGGTTGGCGCTAACCGTGGTTGGTCGTAACCGCCCTGGTAACATAGGTATTAATTAGCACCCCGGTGTCTGATTTGAACGTGGTGTGCAATACAGCATGACGAAGGTGTGCCAGGTATCGTATTTTTATTGCTTTTTTTTGTAATCACAAAAAGGTGAATCCAACATAAAAGTGAGCCAAGAAAACACGGGTCAAGTGTGGAAATTATTTTATAGAAAAAAATGAATGTGATAAAATAAGTAGTAAAATAGTTAGGTCAATGCAGTTTCATGTAATGCACAGTAATTAATCTGCGGCTGTGACTTCGCGAGCGCCGATAACATCGTACCATCATATCGCAACGTAAGGGAAGATTTCGCTAACATTGTGTCGATATATGCGCCCTAACAATAAATTTTCTGTTCAGAGTCGAGCGGAACGAGATTGCTAACTTCAGCGCACGATTTTGTGGGTTTACACCGAACTACGGTATTGCACTGATTTTTCATTGAGCTGGAAAGTACCTGCATTGTTAAACCGCGCATCATTTGAAGACTGCCCTTCTCTCCGAGTGCATGTGCAGCCCAAATGAATGTTTTTTTATGTAGCAATATTAACAATAATTAAAAACACTATTATTTTCCCAAGATATACGGAGAGAGGCTCTTTATTAGAAAAAAAAAACATATTTGTAGTGGTATGAAGAGCGCGTAAGAGACTTCTGTTGGCGTCTGCATACCACCTCCACATTGAACAGCGTGGGGCTACCTAAAGCTTTTCATACGTTGGCATAAAACCACCTTCTCTGTTTTGCGCCCTTTCTTTTCATAAAATAAGCGTGCCAGCTCGCCTAACTGTCCAACGTTTTGCTTGAATGAATGAATGAATGAATGAATGAATGAATGTGCGTGATTTCGCCTTCTTGCCTAAAAACGCGTCATGGTGGAGAGAGAGAGAAAGAGAGAGAGAGAAAGGGGGAAGAGAAAGAAAACTAGACGAAATACGTCCTCAGGCATCACGAGGAAAAGGAAGCGGGTGTTGAGGAGGGAAACAAACACATGTTTCTGCAGTGCATGGCACGCGTGTCTGTGGCGAGAGGCAGGCGGGAAGGAGATTAGGGGAAGGAGAGATTGATTTGAGGGAAGTTGGGTTTTTCAGGAAGACATAGATGCAATAATTAGACGTTTGGATCATTGCCTGATCATACGCTTGCCTGCAGGGAATGTTTGTTGTTCATATGAGCTTTTATGGGCCCGTGATAACATAGCACCCAACAAAGCGCCTGCAGCCTCTATTACGGAAACAGGCCACTACACGCCTTTCCGCCAAATCATAGCAGACTTTAATTCAACATACGTACAATCGATGTTGAGCATGAAACAGAAGCCAGCAAGGCTTGACGTCATCCATG